TGAGGTCATTTTGGATGTTCGAGAAGACTCCGTGGCGGTGCACAGCGTTAAGCCTTCTGCTGATGATCATGAAGATCATGTGGAGATGACTTTACTGGGAAAAGGGTTGGAGAAGAATCAATCTCCTAAAGGTTCATCAGTTGTGAGGACGGCTTCAGCTCGTATCAAACAAGTTTCTCAGGAGCTGAAGCGCATGGCCTCATTTTCAAAACAAGCAGTGGCAGCCCCTCATCCAAGGAGGCGGTTTGATCGAACACAGTCAGCAGCAGCTCCTGCCTTGAAGGGCCTCAAGTTCATCAGCAAGACAGATGGTAATGCTGGGTGGCCTGCAGTTGAGAAGAAGTTCAATCAGCTCACTGCTTCAAGCAATGGCTTGCTTCCTCGTTCACTTTTCGGTGAATGTATAGGTACTTATGGCTGCTCCTAATGATGCTTCAGTTCCTGTTTGCATTACAGTATTTGATGTTTTGTTGATTTCTGTGGATGTAACTCATGTAGGAATGAATAAGGAATCGAAAGAGTTTGCCGGGAAGCTGTTCGATGCTCTTGCTAGAGAGCTGGATATTAAGGAAGATTCCATCACCAAGGAACAGTTGAACGAGTTTTGGGCTCAAATCTCTGAGCAGGGATTTGACTCCAGGCTTCAAACTTTCTTTGACATGTAATTTCTTCTCAACCCACTTTTTATTTTTCTGGAGAGTGTCTAAAGGAATTGCTTAATTTTTCTCTTATTCTCATCTCTATTGATTGATTGGTTGATTGATCATGGAGCAACATGAAATTGAATTGAGTGGTAAATATGTAAAATTCAGGGTTGATAAAGATGCAGATGGAAGAATCACCATAGAGGAGGTCAAAGAGGTATGACATATCTGCCATGTGAATCTTAACCAATCCTGGCTACCATGTGATTTTTGTGTCAGTCTCTCAGACAGAATATATGACATCTTCTAAACCAAATTGTTAAATTATAAAATGCAGATTATTAGCTTCAGTGCTTCTGCCAACAAACTCTCAAACATCCAAAACCAAGCAGATGAATATGCAGCATTGATCATGGAAGAGTTAGATCCAGACAATCTTGGATACATCATGGTAAATAAATGAAAAGATGATAATTGAACTCCTAATTAGAATTTAGAAATTGGAATTCTTGTCTTTAGATTCTTAATTCTTGATCATTTGGTGATGACTGTGGGAACAGATAGACAGCCTGGAAACTCTCTTGTTGCAAGGACCAGAAGAGACTGCAGTAAGAGGAAAAGATAGCCGAAACCTAAGCAAAATGCTGAGCCAGAAGCTTAAGCCTACAAGAGAGCACCCATTAAGGAGATGGTGTAGCAACGTCAAGTACTTCTTGCAAGACAATTGGAAGAGAGTTTGGGTAGTGACACTGTGGGTTGGGATCATGGCTGGCCTATTTGCCTACAAGTACGTGCAGTATCGAAACAAAGCTGCATATGAAGTAATGGGGCATTGTGTGTGCATGGCCAAAGGTGCAGCAGAGACACTCAAATTCAACATGGCTCTTATTCTGCTACCAGTCTGCAGAAACACCATAACTTTGCTCAGGAACAAGACCAAACTAGGCATCGTCATTCCTTTTGACGACAACCTCAATTTCCACAAGGTCATAGCTATAGGAATTGGGATTGGAGTTGGCATACATGGAATTTCTCATTTAGCATGTGACTTCCCTCGCATCATTCATGCCAGCAGCGATAAGTATGAGCTGATGAAGCCCTTTTTCGGGGACGATCAACCTTCAAATTATTGGCACTTTCTTAACTCACTGGAAGGAGTTAGTGGGATTGTTATGGTAGTGTTAATGGCAATAGCCTTCACATTGGCTGCCCCTTGTTTCAGAAAAGGTCAGCTCAAGCTGCCTGAGCCTCTAAAGAAGCTCACTGAACCTCTAAAGAAGCTCACTGGGTTCAATGCCTTTTGGTATTCACACCACCTCTTCATCATAGTCTATGTCTTGTTGATCATCCATGGTGTTTATCTTTACCTGACCAAGGAATGGTATAAGAAGACGGTACGAAACCTGGTGATTAATTACCTCTAATTACTTTTCACCTGATCTTAATCAGCACATTAATCTTTTTACTGTTTGATTTTACAGACCTGGATGTACCTGGCTGTGCCACTCACCCTCTATGCTGGTGAAAGATTGGTTCGGGCACTTCGATCCAGCATCAAGCCGGTTAAGATACTAAAGGTGAACAACTTGAAAAGCTATATATTCATTGTGTTTATGTTGGAGAAAACATACGTAATCAACATAAAAACCATAATTAAGTATATCTGATTAGTTTTTTTTTTTTTTTTTTTAATCTCTTTATTTATGGTGAAGGTGGCCTATCCTGGGAATGTCTTGGCCCTTCATTTGTCCAAGCCTCAAGGCTTCAGATACCACAGTGGGCAATATATGTTTGTTAAGTGTGCTGCTGTGTCTCCATTTGAATGGTAAGATCCCTACAAACATCATTTTAATATATGTCATGTACTGTAAATCATGACTAATGGACGAAGTGCAATTATGTTAAAATGCTCTCTTCAGATTAACAGGCTAACAACATAAAGTCACGTCCGTCTCCAAACCTTTTTCTCATTACACGTTTTTTTTCTTCGTGTGCTTATCCATTTTAGTACGTTAATAAGTACTTGGTGTTTGACATGTACACAGGCACCCATTTTCCATCACCTCAGCCCCTGGAGATAACCATCTTAGTGTTCATATTCGAATCGTCGGAGATTGGACCCAGCAACTTAAAACTGTGTTCTCTCAGGTGTGTTTCCGATTGCAAATTGCTCTGGGAACAGAACAGTAGTCTCATGTACATCAGAAGTTTGTATATCATAAGGAACAACAGACACATAAATAAGATACTGGTTTGGTACATAAAGCTTATAGTTTATCACAAAAGAACAAATATTGCCATGTAAATGCATTATCCACTAAACATGGGCAGCTAATCTTCTTGTATTGATTTGTTTAGGTATGCCAACCTCCTCCTAGTGGGAAAAGCGGACTTCTCAGAGCTGACCATATGCAAGGAGCTGACAACTTAATGTAAGAAACCTTAATTAACTAATGGATTTGTCTTAATATTAATATTAGTGGACCACAATGCGTAAAGAGATACGTTTCTCTAATGTTGAAATCTATGAAGAGTTATAGAAAGTGAAAGTGCCTAGATACTGACTAATAACGTTGTGACACGTGTGATAATACTTCTATGTGGCATAATATTATTGGTCGGGAATAACAAAACAGTACTGATCCGTTGCAACTAAAGAAAAAAAAAGTAGGTTATTATGATGGGTTAGTACTTCACTTGGGGTCGAAAGAAGAAAAAGTAGATTATTATTGATTGTTCTTAAAGATATTATATAGTAATAGATAGACTCTAACAAACATGGTCGCTAGGCAAAGTGTTATCATTCTCTCTAAAGTAGAACATTGAGTGGGCTTTGATTTTTTTTCCCCCTTCCTTTACTGATAAGAAAGTTGCTTTGTGTCTTTTAACGATAGCAACCTCATAATGGATTTTTACTTTTTTTTTCTTTTTCTTTTTCCATGTTGGTGGAAATAATTGATGTGATGATAATGAATTCAAAACCAGATTTCCAAAAGTGTTGATAGATGGGCCCTATGGAGCACCGGCCCAAGACTACAAGAACTACGAAGTGGTGTTGTTGGTAGGGCTAGGGATTGGGGCAACCCCAATGATCAGCATTTTGAAGGACATAGTGAACAACATAAAGGCCATAGAGGAGGAGGGGGAGGACATGGATGCCTTAGAAAATGGGGCACCAAGCAGGATATCAAAAGTCGGATCCGGGTCAAGCCAACTGGGGCTCCATAACTTTAAGACCAAGAGGGCCTATTTTTATTGGGTGACAAGAGAGCAAGGCTCTTTTGACTGGTTCAAAGGGGCGATGAATGAGGTGGCTGAATTGGACCACAACAGGGTTATCGAGTTTCACAATTATTGCACCAGTGTTTATGAGGAAGGTGATGCACGTTCTGCCCTCATTCACATGCTTCAGACTCTCAGTCATGCAAAGAATGGCGTTGATATTGTGTCTGGGACACGTGTCAAGTCGCACTTCGCCAAGCCTAACTGGCGTGAGGTCTACAAGCGCATTGCACTTGATCACACTAACGCCACAGTTGGTGAGTCCTTTCTTTCCCTCTATCAATAATAATTATTTATTCATCACATTTACTTTACTGATTACATTATTAATTATGTTTTAAATATAAGTTGTATTTATCCACGTGAGCAATAAAATAGTACCGTGGCTTTTATTCACGATTTGAATTCTGTTACGTGTTACGTGTTAATTGTTCTTTCTGTTGCTGTCGAAATGTGGATGATTAACATTTAAAATATCCATGTCTTAATCATTCATTATTTATCAATAGCCATTGCTATTTAAATTTTTATTCTTTTTAATTTTTAAGGAGATAATTTAAGGTGTTTGTTTGTGTCGTGCAGGGGTGTTCTACTGTGGGCTACCAGCGCCTGCCAATGAGCTGCGCCAGCTATCTCACGATTTCTCTCACAAGACCACCACCCAATTTGATTTCCATAAAGAGAATTTCTGATGATCACAAATCAAGTAAAAAACAAAACAAAGTCTTCCTGTGCGTCCCCACCATGTACATTATGGTCCATCCATGTCCATCCTCCTACTTTCTCCATCAAAATACAAAGAGATTCTGATCTGAGCTGCTGCTTTATGTAAATTATTAGTTCAATCTTCTTTTTATCTTCTTCGCTTTACATAGCAGGCAAAAAGATGGTGGTTAGGCCACAGGCCTCTGAGTTGTGATCCTCGTGTATGCCTCGTTTGATGTGGCCTAAGCCCATTATGGTCATTTTTAATTATACAAGTTGCAGGGTGGGGAGAGAGAGAGAGATGCAGAGAGAGCTTGTGCAAAGCATGTTTCTAGAATGAATGATTGACTTATTATATGCTAATTTTTAATTATACAAGTTGCAGGGTGGGGAGAGAGAGAGAGAGAGATGCAGAGAGAGCTTGTGCAAAGCATGTTTCTAGAATGAATGATTGACTTATTATATGCTATATATTACTACTAGGCAGCCTGTGTTAGAATATAAATCTGTGTATGAGTTATCAAGTTTGAATGGCTAGTTTGTAATTTTCTTGAACTTCTATCATGATTTTGATATTTAAACTATGCTATCATGGAATCTAAAGAACCTAACAACGATGATGATAGATTAGGCCGGTCCCAAGTATTCTTTGCTAGTTTTTTTTTTTTTGGTTTTCGGGTTCGTCCCGCCTTGTAACCCAAGAAAAAAAAAACATAACAAACAACGATGAAACTAGGTTTCCCATTCCCACATACCAGGTTCTTCAACTTGTAGGAAATGGTACATACCTGAAGTTAAGTTCATGCTTTACATAGGGGTGCCCACTCTTTATTTATGTTTCCTTTTTAGCCTCTGGAAATTCGGTTTCATTAGTTGGCTGGTGGCCATGGATTGGTGTGGAGCACAATTAGGCTGGGACTCGACCAAAGGCTTCTTTACCTCAACACTAAAATTCTTCACGCCGGTGTTTGCGAGAATTGGAGAAACTGATTCTCTTTTGAACTGTCTTGGCACCTCAAGCCTCTCTAAAATCCTTGAGGTTTTGGCGTCGAGCTGCCGGTTACCATCTGGTGGTGATAGAAGAAGTGATTGGTCTAGCTTGGGTTTGGAAGTGCAAACTGGAGAATGTATCCTAGAGACTTCATTGACAATAAGCTTCTCCCACTCTTCTGTAATGCAAGCAGATGTTTTGTCTTCTTGGGCTGTTAGGTCTAGTTCTGAGGTTTCCTCTCTGATGAAGGCAATATCTTTTGTTGAATTTGGCTGTACAATCACCTCTGGAAATTTTGGTTGGGTTGCGTTTGGCTCACAGGTTTCCTCTTTAAATATAAGGGATATTGGCCTGGAATATTCACATCAACAAAGCAATTATCAGAGGAAGCTTTCACCCTAAGTTCGGATATAGTTGCTATACTTCTTGATTAACAATAGCGAATCTAAACTCAGTCCTAAACATGTGGAAGAACTCAGGGGTTCATCTCATTCCATCAGTTGTGAAGTTCTATACATAATAGAATTTCTGACCAATTGGTTATTGTTTTGAATAGATGAAAATGAGGCCATCCTTAAACACAAAGGCCTACAATTGATTGAAAATGTGCCTAAATATCTCAAATGATAATAGAGAAAAATAAAGCATGCACATCGAGAGTAACAAGGGCATATTTAATTTTGTAGCTAAAAGTGTGTTTCTCTATCATTTGCTTTCTAATTTTTTCTTCTCCTGTTCACAGTAGCACTAAAAGCCTGTCGATCTGCATGATTATTTTGACATGTTATGCAGGTTCAAGGTGGATGACGAGAATAATTACCCAAACTGTAAGCTCTCTTTTACAAGCAAGTTTAATTTCTGATGGAAGCCCCTCTTATGCAGCATCGGATTATAGTCTCTTACATCAACCTGCAAAAAGTTCAGAGAAGGAAAGGCTGAATCACCGCCTCATTCAACAATCTAATACGCTTTATCTAATTACTTAAATGCAAAAGGTTGAGAATAGAAAACTCAATTTGCAAAACAACAAATTTGGTTTAAATTGTGGCTTAGCATGCAGCTCTGCATGGCCTAGATCCAATTGGAAAACTCGACAACGTTGTCAAATAGTTACTTAAAGACATTCACGTCATTCTCTCTACAAAAGGGTTGAAAAGAAAAATTCTCCAAGAAGAGTTCAAGAAGAAGAATGCAAGCATATATATGCTTCTGGTTCATACCTTTGACAAAGAGTCTTTAATGGAGTTCTCAATCTCCTTCCTTACTGAAGAAATAGTTAATTGATTGATATCAGGAACATGCAAAACTTCCTCTGATCCTGCAACGCTCTGCAAATATTATAGCAATGCTTAACACAGATACAAGATACAACAGAGTCAAGACAATAAATGCAGAAAAGATAAGCCAAAACATATCATGCATACAACTAGACGAAGATGGAATGGAAGTATAGAAACTAAAAGAGAAGTTCAATGTTCACCCTGAGAAGCATTGGCCCGTTGTCTGAAGGTTGAAGAATATAATAACTGTGCAAAGTGGCCTGCCTCATAGTTTCTATATTACAATTTGAAGAACATACCAAACACTGGTCCAGTGAATGTAGAGCACTGCAAAGCCCTTGGAAAACTACAAAATTTGTAGCCTGGTTAGAGAAAAGAAGAAAGATGGATACAATAAATAGTCAAGGACACATCCTGAGACTTCATGTAAGGCCTCTTATTAGACATTCACAAAGTCTCTGAAGTTGGTTGTCCTGGAAAAATGTAGCAGCTAAAAAGAAGAGAATCAGAGGAAGGCCTTGAACACACGTTGAATATTCAATTCTGACTGATCAATCTCATCTGGAATAGTTTCTATCTCATTACAAGTTGTTGGAATCACAACATAGGAAGCACCCATTATAACACCTGTGAAAAAATTGCCAAAAAGGGTGTAGTATTAATTGTCAATGTTAACACCAAGCACTAAAAGGACTAATCAGGCTTTCAATTTCCTAGTAAGCTCAGACTTGAACTAATAAATGTTGAGCTTCAAGCTTAACATTTACCTTCACTTAGAGAACCCAAGTTAGTCCTCTCAATGACATTGAAGTCAAGTGGCAAAGAAGCACGCTTGAGCTTCATAGAGTTTGGAAATGAGGGCAGTAAAAGGATTGTTTTTTCTCCAACTTTCACAGAATTTTCAATCACATCACATGTCTCAAGATTACAGCCTGTGACTGGACAAGAAGGTCCCTCGGCTCTATTTCTAACAGCATCTTCCAGAGAAATGCCATGACATCTGCATGCCTATAAGCAGTAAACCTATCATCAAAATCTTAATTTAGAGTTGAGGTGTGATGGTGAAATGAAAACAGAGGGATGGAGGAGTATATCATATAACAAGAAAATCTGTCTGCCATATTTTGCTTCCACGTAGGGAGGATAGAGCAACAGTGAGTTGTGTTAACTATTCATTAAGCAGACTGATAACGGCTGTTTGGATTTGGAATAACAAACCACACAGGCTGTCCATCACATCACATATATGATTGCACCAAGTTTATGGTTCGCACTATTGACACATAATCTTGTTGAAGCAATGATAATCAACCATGATGGCTATTTTAGTTAGCTTTTGGATCCAGAGACTACGAAATCAGATATTACACTTCTAAGAAATATCAGAGGCCCAGGCAAGATGATGATTTTGTAACATCTCTAAGAGGTTTTCAATTGTAACACCAGAGAAAATAACGTGAGATCTTAAAGTGATTTTCAGTTCATAAATTGCGATGGTAAAAATGACCATAAAAATCTACCATCCATGAAGTATTCTTAGCCAACATGGATGATTCAGAAGTAGAAGAGCAATAAAGCTGACAAAGTAGTATTTACATAGTACCTGACAGGGATAGAAAACATCGATATTTGGATTGACTGATATGTACAAGTTGCAGAATATCTGGTTCACAGAGCCCACAAGATTGTTCTTGAAGTTAAAACGAGCTTGTAGTGGTTCTTCCATGTCATCTTTTAAATCCTGCAACCATCGGTTTACCAGGCCATGCAGTACTTTGACATCTGAAAATTTGGTTAATAGTCAACATAAACTGTCCCCAGCTTTCTACCTCGAAAGCCTACTGTGCTTCTAGTCTCCTAGACCGTAACAATAATAACTATCAAAAAACAGGGAACAAATTACGGAAATGAGCAGAGCAATTGAAGGAGGTAATCGCAGTGGTGTGTCCTACTCTCCTACATATAAAGAGGAAGGGAAGGAGTGGAAAACCTGGGAGATATGCTTGAAAGGAGCAATTATCAAGATCAGATATACATGTTTGAAAATTGTTGATATTCTCTTTGGTATTATTGAGGTGGGATGATTTCTGTTCAAATAGTAGAAAATCCACCGAAACACACTTATCCGCTGCAGCCTGCGGAAAAGAAGCCAACACCAATAGAGAACCATGAAAACAAAGCTGCAGAAGCAAACATGGTGCGAAATTCAAAAATATCGAAAATAAGCAATGAAAGGCTAACCATGAGAGTGTTTTGCATGATCCAGTCCACATCTCGGGGTAAGCAGGAGGTTAGCACAATCACTTTTCTCATGATATCTCTGCCCTCCCACTGGTACAAAACTTGATCGTTCAGGACCGTGGAAAGTTTCACATCTGCAACAAATTATGAATCAACAAACATAGTTAACAAAATGAGTATGCCGGAGAAAATAGTTGAGGCCAGAGAGCACCAGAATCGTCGATCTGAGGCTGAAAGCCATGAGCAGGCAAATTGTTAACGGCATGGTGGAAGTCACGTAGATTGAAGCTTCCGCTTGGACTCGGCGTGTATACGATCTTCAGCTGTAAAACGATATATATTCAATCTTTCACTCTCAGATTCTCAGGGAACATAACGTAAACAGGTTTCGTGCCCGAAATCGCCTACCTCATCAGACAAGGAAATCGGATTTTGAAAGACGTAGCAAAGGCCTATGCGATCTCTGAGCGACTCCGTTCTGCGCCAAGACGGGGTCGACGAAATGGCGTAAAGATTCGCGAGCTGCAACAGCGACTGATGAAATTTACCAGAAAAAAACGCATGCAATTCGTGAGGCTATGGATTGAAGCAGAAACCGTATGGGCAAATTTTATGAATGATTACCAGCTTTAGGTCTGTGAGAAATGGAGGTGGCAAGCTCCGTAGGTCCAGTACAAAGCACAACTCTACCATTGCGCTTCTTCTTCAACCGCTCTCGAAAAGCTCACTGGTTTGGCGCCAACACCTTCTTAAAAGTAAGATTGGGCCGATGTTGCTTAGGCCGAGCCTTGTTTGTTGCTAAGTTTGTCCCCTGGGCTCCCCGATAATGATATCAAACTCGCAAATTATTTCAATTTTCAGACGTATTTGACATAAAAATAATATTTTATTATTCTCCTAATTTCTATTTCATCTTTTTATTACATTTAGTCATTTTTCCTAACTGAGGACGAAACGATAGGTTAATGTTTCGATTCGTTCCAATGTAATCAAAATAAATAAATAACTAGCACGAAAAAAATAATTCATCTTTTTATTACATTTAGTCATTTTTCCTAACTGAGGATGAAACGATAGGTTAATGTTTCGATTCGTTCCAATGTAATCAAAATAAATAAATAACTAGCACGAAAAAAATAAAAAACATTTTTGAAATAGAAAACATTCTGCAGCACAGTGTGGAAATAGAAAACATCAAAACATTACATATTCTGCCATAAAAGAGGCCACGAAGCTTAATATTATAGGGGACAGTCTTTCTTATGATTTATTATCATCACTCTTGTTCTTAGCCCACAGCAAACTGCTGAGACTATAATGGCACACTTGAAACAATGTTATGCATGTAAATGGTAGTAGATACAAAGAACTATATATTTATATAATCTTCATATGATAGGATTGAAGTTTCTGAATTGCTGCCTGTTAAGACGTGAAGAATCAGGAAAAGTGACATTTTTGATGTGATCAGAGAGAAACTCTTTTGTCATCTTGTATATCATATCCAGATCAGTCTTAAACATGGCACCAGCGATGCCCACAACTCCTGGATTTTGGCTGTTAAACACTGAGTAAGCAGTGGCCAAATCATACCCAGCATTCAGAGAGAAGTGAAGCAGGCCCCTTGGGAACACAAACACATCTCCTTCCTTAAGAATCTTCTGGAAGGCCCGGTTTTGGGTGTCAATAAACCCAGCAAGCACTATGCCTTTGTTTACAAAGAACAGCTCAGAAGCTCTGGGGTGAGAATGAAGGGGCACCAAGCCATCCAATCTGAGGTCTGTTCTGGCAATTGAGAGGCCAAGGGTGTTGAGGCCTGCCCACTCTGCAGCAGTCACTATATTCAATGAGGAGCCAAAGAAATTGTCTGTATTGCCAGATTTGGTCAGATTGGAAGTTTTGAAATCAGGGGCAGTGTTGTTATTTGGGTTCTTGCATGGGAAGCCATTGATGAAGATGGTTTGTTTTGCTGATGGGGATGTAGGGCAAGTGTCCTGGAGATTATCAGAATCTGCAGAGCAGATTTTAGTGCAAAAACAGATGACAGAGAGAAAGACAATGCAACAGGAAAAAGATGAACTCATCTTGGGTGCTTTTGTTTTGTGTGGTGCACAGTATTTTATTTTAATGTGTATATATAATAGTAAGTAATGATGTTGAGGTTGCAAGAAATGGAAGTAATTTGTTAAGCTTGGAGTTCACTGCTGGATTTGAAATGGATTATATTCAAAGAAGTGCATTGCTTAGAAGACAATCATCTTTGTTTTTGCCTGAATGGCTGGGTGTCCTTGTGCTTCAAATACCACTCATATTTTTGCTGTTTACCTCTTAGGTCGGCTATTGAAAGCTCCATAGTGGACCCCAGACAGTCTTACTTGCCATTACAGGAAAGCAAATGGCTGCACTGACTTTTAGACAAAAGCATTTTCGTTAGTTTTTTTTTTTCGTTTTGGTCAAGTGCCATTAGTTTAATTCAAATAAAAATATATGATGTCAGTTATTAGCTGCACTGTTTCCATCTAACGGGGGACCAGCAATGGCATGTAAAAGAGTCGTGTAAATATTTTCAACTATATGGAGGTAACAAGATTGTGTGGCGGCAATTAAATCAAAATGTTTTCAACTTTCCAGTTTGCCAGAATAAGCATGGCACATTTACATCTAGGATCAATAGATGTTCTGAAAAATTAAAAAAAACATCAACACCTGAAATCATGAGCTGGGTCTATTTATTTTAGTAATAAGGAAATGGATCATTATGAGAAGAGAAACTGAAAATCTATGATGTTATTAGCACAAAATGAGTACAAATGCTGTTCTTCTCACAGAGCTGACATGCTTTGGTTCAGGCACTACTGGTGACAATATCTGAGATCAATTTTATCAAGGAGCAGAGCCACCAAAAAAATTATGGTCAATAACACCTTTGCCTTCGATGACATGTGTGAAATCGTTTGGGTGTCTTTATTAAATTTCTCCATAGCCCAAGAGCCTCCATTACTATTTGGCCATTACTCGAGTATCTATTGTTCCTTTTTGATCTTTTTACTTTTATAGAGTTATTACCCATATAAACTTTTTAGTATTTTCATGTTTAATAATATATTATACACATATGCACCTATTTCTCATGTTTAATACATGTATTTTTTTATAAAATTTTCAATAAGACACAAAATTCACGTATTATACACATAATTCTCACATATTACTGAATAAAAATAATTTATATTTTAAAAAAGCGTATAGCCGCACGGTTATACTGTCCTTTTTCTGAAATTTTTAATAGTATAGCCGCACGGCTTTACTCTTTGATACATGGCGCTTAGGGCTGGGGCTCTTTATATACAGCCGATCGGGTATACTTTTTCTTTAATGTTTTTTAAAAATAGTATAGTCGTTCAGCTGTACTATTGCGGCACGTGGCTCCTTGGCGTTGGGCGCGTCCCTTTTAATTTACACATAGTAAAGCCGTGCGGCTGTACGGTTTAAAAAAGAAAATTTAATCCGGAAAATTTCGCATGCATAGATCTGTGCTGACGAACTTTTGTCGGGAGAGGTTTTCTTTATATATATATAATATTTTTTTCGCCTACTTCTTTAGTTTGATATATGTAATTAAGTAATATCTTAGCCTTTTTGAATTACTCTAGTTAGTAATTATATTTTCAATTAAGTGAATTTAGGTTTTAGGCACAAAAAAACTTTCATTTTTGGAAAAAGCAAAACTTTCCAAAAAAGACAGAAAAACCCCTCAACTTTCAAACCAAAGACATACAAATGTAAAGGATTCCTTAGGAAATTTAAAAATAAATAAGGGCATTTCTGTCCATTTTGGCTTCTTTTAAAAATATTTCTCTCTCCTTTGGCTTTTTTCCAAAATGTCCCTTTTAATTATTATTTAATATAAAAAAAATAAAGAAAAGTTCCACAAAATAATTTATTTCTATTTATTAAGTATTTTGTGAAATTGTTTGAGTGTCTAAATTAATTTCCCCATGGCCCAAGAGCCCCAAGGCCCAAGTCTTTGTTTAATATAATAATTATTAATGAAAGCCAACAACGCTTACCAAACCATCACAGAGTTTTGTTTATAAACACCTTTATAGGAGTGTGGATTTTCGACGTGAGATTTTCACAAATGGCACCTCAAAAGATAGGCTTATAGGTGAGAAAGTAAATTTAGGTTTTAGCCAAACAAAATTTTTCACTTTTGGAAAAAGCCAAAGCTTTTTCAAAAAAGACAGAAAAACCTCTCAACTTTCAAATCAAAGACATGCAAATGTAAAGGATTCATTAGAAAATCCAAAAATAAATAAGGGCAATTTTGTCCATTTTGGCTTCTTTTACAAAATTTCTCTCTCCTTTGTGTTTTTCCAAAGTCTCCCGAGAAAGTAATCTATATTTTTATTGTTGGTGCAATGTGAAAATATATTTAAAGCCCTTCAAGGTCTCCATGATGCAACTGTAAATGCCCTCCAAGGTCTCTGTGATGCATCTGTAAATGCCCTTCAAGGTCTTGCATCTATCGGCCCTGATATTAGACATACCTGAAATCTTACAAATTCCGCCTCCATACTCATCTCCAAAAGAGTACCTTTATGTGCAGTATGGAGGGCAGAGTTATGGTTTTGATGTTGACCTTCATTCTGTGGAAACAAGAAACTGCATGTAATCTAGTTTCTGTTAACCAAATACATGGTCGATCATTAAATGACAGACGCCTCCGTACAAGAAGAAAGGGAATATAATAAGCACTATGCCCTTGCTTACAAATGGTTTGTTTTGCTGATGGGGATGTAGGGCAAGTGTCCTGGAGATTATCAGAATCTGCAGAGCAGATTTTAGTGCAAAAACAGATGACAGTGACAGAGAGAAAGACAATGCAGCAGGAAAAAGATGAACTCATCTTGGGTGCTTTTGTTTTGTGTGGTTACCAGTATTTGATTTTAATGTGTATATATAATAGTAAGTAATGATGTCGAGGTTGCAAGAAATGGAAGTAATTTGTTAAGCTTGGAGTTCACTGCTGGATTTGAAATGGATTATGTTGTAGGAAGTGCATTGCTTAAAAGACAATCATCTTGGTTTTTGCCTGAATGGCTGGGTGTCCTTGTGCTTCAAATACCACTCATATTTTTGCTGTTTACCTCTTAGGTCGGCTATTGAAAGCTCCATAGTGGACCCCAGACAAGTTTTTGACATTTTCATAAGCTTTATATAATTCCTGAATCTACAGTCTTCCTTGCCATTACAGGAAAGGAAATGGCTGCACTGACTTTTAAACAATGAAATGGATAAAAATTAAACAGACAAAAGCATTGTCATTAGTTTAATTCAAATAAAAAGATATGATGTCAGTTATTAGCAGCACTGTTTCCATCTGATGGGACAAGCAATGGCATGTAAAAGAGTTGTGTAAATATTTTCAACTATATGGAGGTAACAAGATTGTGTGGAGGCAATTAAATCAAAATGTTTTCAACTTTCCAGTTTTGCCAGAATAAGCATGGCACATTTACATCTAGGATCAATAGATGTTCTGAAAAATTAAAAAAAACATCAACACCTGAAATCATGAGCTGGGTCTATTTATTTTAGTAATAAGGAAATAGATCATTATGAGAAGAGAAATTGAAAATCTATGATGTTATTAGCACAAAATGAGTACAAATGCTGTTCTTCTCACAGAGCTGACATGCTTTGGTTCAGGCACTACTGGTGACAATATCTGAGATCAATTTTATCAAGGAGCAGAGCCCACCCAAAAAATTATGGTCAATAACACCTTTGCCTTCGATGACATGCGCGAAATCGACGAGTTTTATTTCAGCACCTGAATTCCTCCCTTGCAGTATTGACTCCTTCTCATACACCATCAGCACTGAACAAGAATAGAAATGGAAAATGGTCTGCTCCTCAAACCATGACTTCAGTTCCAACAATTGTGCCAATATCCCAGCAGGACCACCATAGACAGTCGATGCAAAAGAACAATCTGGTTTGATACCTGAATCTGTAGATGGGTTAGAAGACACAAATTTCCTCAGAGCTAACCTAGTATCCTCAATGCTAAAGTTCAGAACACACTTCTTATCAGGCTTCCAAAATCCAGTTTCTTTGTTTCCATAAACCCGAAGTCCAGATACCCTAAACCCCAGCTCCAGGCTCGTGGTCTCTCTATCTTTCTTAAGACACTTTATGATATAATCTTCAGCAGCTTGCGGGTACCATGTTCTGGAACCAATTTTTGCGTCCAATACAGATGGATTGATTCTACTTGAGACAGTATCTTCCAATGCAAGGTGAGGATACAAGCCAGAACCATCAGACGCCTCTAAATGCCGAGTGCCATAAAAGACAGGGAAGAACTTGCGGATGTGGTCTGGAATCCTCGTATCAGTAGAAAATGATGTATAGAATGCTAGCTCATGGGATCCACGCCCATCATTCTGAAGAGGCTTGTAAAAGTGCCCTGAATCATCTATAAGAGGGCCAAGCTTCCCATCACCGGCTTGGTGGCCAGCAACTTGATGATCTGGGACCTTAAGCATAACTAGCATGTAAAGAAAATTATTAGATGTAATCAAATTACAAAGAGGTTGTCATTGTAGGCAGTAGACAATTAATATTTAAGATTTTGTGAACAATAAATATAGTGCCCTTATGAATTCAAGGATGAAAATTTTATTAGCAATAAAGAAACCACTTGAGTATATCAATTACGAGCTTCTCATCTTCAAGAAGTGAGATGGCACATTTCTGCACTTCCTAATATAGAATAATCAAACTTGTCAACATAATGTGGATGGCTCGCTTTTTAAACACTAGATCACAAGGATAGTTTACTTAGCCAATTTATGAGTTCCCTATTATGCTAAAACTCACCAACTTAGCACATTCAATTCAAAGATAATTAATGCTTTCTTAGTCCCTATAGAAAAGCAGGTACAAAATGATAGCAAGATGTATACTGGAGTAAATCCAAATGCAAAACTAAGCTAATGTTGAGAAAACTCAACTCAAGAGTTACCTCACATCTCAACTTTCAAAGACCACCTCCGAAACTTGGTGTCTCCTAATAAGAGTACTACTGGGCATGTCAAACAACCATTCAAGGTACAATGGACTGAGTTTCCATTACTCGGTCACATACCTTTTGTCCACTATTATGCTTAATTTCAAAAGCCATATCGACTGACTGTTAGGCATCCTCCCAGGTTTAGCCATATACCAGCTGTTGCTTAAACTTTATGCATCCTCTATTAAATTCCCGCTATCATGTTTACATACCAAAGCTGTATATCTAGTGACATGCTCCAGGAAATCAAAACCTCCAGAACCCCTCTGTGTATTTTTGGTTGGATGAATAAGTTTAATATAGGGCTTCTCAAATACCTTATAAGTAAAGAAAATTGTGTTTCCTAGTTTCATATTGCCGTATTATCATCAATCTTTATTATTTCCAAGTTTCATGGAGCCCCAACAAAATTTCAAATAAAGGCTTGGAAAATGTACCCTACAGGCTTTACTAGCCAGATTAGAAGCTTTAAAATTATAAATCTATTTTATTTAGTTTTCTGAACTTCCAATAGGCTGATTATCATCCAGTAATGCAAATTTCTAGCGCTTGTGATACTAAACAGAAAAATAGGAACGCAAAGAATTCCAAAAGTAACTACACAAACACATCTAACTACTCAAAATTCTATATGAGATCGTATAGAAATCAAGTAAAATACAGCTTTGAGGCCAAGCAAATTCTGACAAGCATACAACAAAGCAAAGGGGACCAAAATTAACTTTCAGAGTCAACCAAAGAGCCATATATTACTCTAAAACTAGAAGAGAAACTGAGATGCATTGGATCTAAAATGGGCAAAGCAGTAAGCAGATTCCATCCACATTAGACCTCAACTATATATCCAAATTATATCAATTGGCCATAACAAGGGGCAAAATGTAGCTTGATTTGAATAGAAAAGAAAGTGGGTTTAGGGTTTTTTGTGATTGCAAACCAAAACCCTAACTTTCTCAGAGAAATCGTCACAGCAAAGTCGTAAAAAGAGACCCATAGACGATATACCTGTAATGGCTGGCGATAACTGCGAGGGAGAGCAACCCTTTACTTCACTCGCTGGATTCTAGTGGCCAAAACAGAGACTCCCTTTGCTTCTTATCAGCAAAAGAGAAACCTTTTTTATAAAGCTGCAGCGCTGTAAATTAGTCGGCGCCAAACATATTGAAGAAGCTTTTTACCCATTCACCCTTTCCCACCTCACTAAATTCTAAAAAAAAGAAAAAATTAATTTCATCCAATTTATTTACTCTCATAATTTACCAACTGAACCCCAACCCACCAATTTTTTTTTCACCTCCATTTTTGCCATGACTGGCTTCTGGTTTTTCAGAGGCTCCAACCACATGGTGCCTCTGAGTTGCCAAGAAGAAAAGGTGTAAAGCTTTCATCTTCTTCTATTGTTCAACTTTTGTTTACAATATTTTTTTAAAAAAAATAAGGCCAGCTGTGGTCCCCCATAAAAATATTATTCTTTGAAAGTGAAGTGTTTAGTCAGCAGCATCTTTGAAAGTTGAAATGGTAAATACAAGCAAGCTTGTGCATAACGTCAAACGTGTTTTGAGTTTTGACCATTAGCTACGCAAATGGGCAGAGAGAGAGGCCACTAGACCAGTGCTTTCCAGTGATTAGGAAGCAAGGAAGCCATTAAGCTATGATGCTGAAGGATAAGTATCTTCCATTAGTAAGTGGGTGCCACAGTGGTATCACTTGTGTCATATTTCTAGCTGTGATCCGTTGCCGCACTGTTGCTTCAGATGTTAAAAATGCGGTAACTATTTCTCTTCAACTCTCTTATTCATATTCATGTTCAATTGGGATTCTTGAATCTTGTGTTAAAAAGAGAGTAAAAAAATTCTTTTACATTTTCAGTTGTGTAATTTTTTTTTTTTGGGTGTAATTTGATTAGGAGAGTGATGAGCACAGTGTTTGTTGGGCGAGAGTTGGTCATTCTTACCCACTTAAATGTGCATTTGAGTTGTTTGACTCCAGTTTCTTCAATAACACAAAGGTGATCGCTTCTGTAGTATTTATGTGCCTTTTATGCATTCTATGGACCACGTTAGTGATAAAGTTTGAACCTTTTTTCTATATACTTTTTTAGATGCTGGAGATTGTGAAGGGTCAAAAGGAGTTCAACATCCCTATATTCACAGCTAATCGAAAACTAGTTGCTTCAGTGAATGGAGGTTTGCATGACCCGTCTTACTTGGTATTCAATTCTGCTTGGGGCAGTGAGCAATCACAGTATGTAACTAAAAGATTCAAGTACCCTTCTCTGTCTGGCATTAAAAAACCCAGAAGTGAACAAGATATTGCCTTTATGAGTGTAAGTCTGTTGCTGCAAAGCCATGCATATGAATGAATGTGATTATATTTTGAGTTAGTTAACTTGTTGGGTGTCCATCAGATTCTTGAATTGGGAGAGCTCATTAAGACAAAGCAACTTACATCTAAGGAGCTTACTGAAATTTTTCTGAAAAGACTTAAAAGGTAATAGTGAGCTCTAAAAATACTTTCTTTGCTTTGTTATAATACTCAGGACTAGTCATGTTATTGATGCATTGTGGGAAAACTAGGTACAATCATGCTCTTGAGGCGGTGGTAACTTATACCGAAGAATTAGCATACAAGCAAGCGAAAGAGGCTGATAAACTTCTTGACCAAGGAGTATATTTGGGTACATCTCTTTCTTATTAATGTCATCAATATCATGCCCAGTCATGTTTGCCTGTCTTTTTTTGGGCAGCAAAGTCATTATTTGAGCCATCATCTTTCATATACCTTCATCCTGCAGTATAATATCTAGACCTCAAATGCTTGTGTTGAGATAGAGAGACAATCATCAAATTCTTTTCCCGAGCTATTTAAGATTAGGCATTCTTCTACCTTAGGGTATCACCTTATTAGGATAAATAGATGATATAGGAAAAGTATTTCTTAGGTGGCATTGGAGTCGGTTTATGCATTATAATATCCTCATTTATTATTGACTTTCTTTATAGGTCCTCTGCATGGGATTCCTTATGGTTTGAAGGATATAATTGCAGTTCCCCACTACAAAACAACTTGGGGTTCGAGAAGTTTCAAAAATCAAGTTCTGGACATTGAAGCTTGGGTGTACAAGAGGTTACAAAGAAACTTGAGTATTGAAGATTTCAGGATTTGAGAAAAATTGATTTCACAAACTGGTGTGGCAGTTGAGCTGACATGTCACATATACTATCCTCCTATCCCTATGATTTGGCATGTAAAGTGCCAAGAAAATGACATGTCACTCATATACCAACACAGTTCAGCTTAAATTGCATTTTGCTCATTAGTTGATCTCTGTTCAATTTAGGTTGAAGTCTGCAGGGGCAGTTCTTGTTGCTAAGCTTGTTTCTGGATCACTGGCATATGATGACATCTGGTTTGGTGGTAGAACAAGGAACCCCTGGAATATCGAGGAGTTTTCTACAGGTTCATCAGCCGGACCTGCTGCCTCCACATCAGCTGGTACTATTCAAATTTGAGCCCTCAGCATTTTAATACCTTCCATCTTCTCTTAGTTTTGGTGGCTCTGTGCTTAGCTGAAATGCATTTCATGTTGCTCTTCATCCCAATAGAGATATATGGCTTCTACATACGTATAGGCTGAGTTGATATATAAAACTTCATTGGAAGCTCCTTTAAAATCTTGTACAATGCCATTGCTATGTGTATAAACAAGATAGCTTTCACAGGTATGGTACCATTTGCAATTGGGTCAGAAACAGCTGGTTCTGTGACCTATCCAGCTGCACGCTGTGGAGTGACAGCATTGCGCCCAACATTCGGCACAGTTGGCCGAACTGGTGTAATGAGCTTATCAGAAAGCTTGGTAGTGCTAGTCTTCTCTTGCGAGTTCCATTCATGTATTTCTTATTGCTGTAAATATAAGAAATTTATGGTTCATTTTCTTATCAGGATAAGCTTGGCCCTTTCTGTAGAAGTGCCACAGATTGTGCAATTATTCTGGATGCCATTAGAGGAAAGGACCCAGATGATCTTTCATCAAGAGACATTCTCCTTGATGATCCATTTTCAGTTGACATTACAAAGCTTACTGTTGGATATCTAGAAGATGCTGAGATGGAGGTTAGTGCTAATTAGTTGGAAATTAACAAAATAGATTATCCGAACCTTTGATCATTAACATTATCCATTATTGATTCTTTTTCTTAGAGCTTAATACAGATAGTTTCTTACAGGTTGTTCATGTTCTTGCATCAAAAGGTGTAAATATGATCCCTTTCAAGCTAAACTACACAGTTGACTCTGTTCAAGGCATCCTAAATTTTACAATGGACGTGGATATGTTGGCTCACTTTGATGAGTGGCAGAGATCAGGGAAGGATGATGTTTATGAAGCTCAAGAACAATGGCCTACCGAACTCCGGCGTGCACGTGTAATTCCAGCAGTAGACTATGTGCAGGTGAATGTTGTCTCCACTTTCTAATTATCAACTAATTAAGTTTTTTTTCCTCAGTGTAAATTACTTAAAACTAGGCTTCTTTTAACGATAATTATTTACAGGCACAAAGAGCAAGGGGAAAGTTAATCCGGGAAGTAAGAGAGAGTTTTACTGTGGATGCGTTCATTGGCAATGCAACTGACTGGGAAAGA